GAAGAAAGGGGGAGGGAATGAAGGAAAGAGAGAAGGATGAAACCAAGGAGCGAAAGAAAGAAAGAAAGAAAGAAAGAAAGAAAGAGGAAGAAAGGAGAGAAAGGGGGAGAAAAAGGGGGAAGGAATAGGTAGGTACCTTTCTTTCATAATACACCAGATATCTACCTCTACTTTGAAAAGATTTACTATAGGCCACAGCAACGCGTGGCAGGGTACAGCTAGTGCATTATAAAACAGCCTCCATTAACCTTAAAATAGCACCTTGCCTTCCTCCATTGCCACGCTTGGACCGGAGGTGCACATCTTTGCTTTCCTCTCCTCCAAGCAATTTCTCCCCGTTCCTCTACATCTTTAATTTTCCTCTTTGGGTTCGGTGGAAAGCGGAGCCATCTATAATTCAGAGCAGGCTGTTCTGAGGGGGGATAAAGAACTCTTTGCAACGCCTGGAATCCCATAAATAATTCCAGAGGGACAAGGATGTAACTCACCCACCCAATGGAAACATCAATAAAATATCTGGAGGGAGAGAGATCTCACCTCGGGGGAAACGTCGCCACACTCGGCATGGTAACATACACACAGGGCTTGTGTTAACAGCAGCAGGAGGATTCACAGGCAAGGCATATCACACACAAAAATAATAATCACAATCCGACGTACATCTATTCCCCTTTGTATGCCTTTCCCGGTGGGTTCTGCTTTTTGTGACGCGTGATGACAACTCCTTGGCAAAACAGATTTGCTTAGAAAATGCATCCAGGAAATGGCAGGTATAGAATCATAGAATCCTAGAATCCAAGAGTTGGAAGAGACCTCCTGGGCCATCCAGTCCAACCCCATTCTGCCAAGAAGCAGGAATATTGCATTCAAATCACCCCTGACAGATGGCCATCCAGCCTCTGTTTAAAAGCTTCCAAAGAAGGAGCCTCCACCACACTCCAGGGCAGAGAGTTCCACTGCTGAACGGCTCTCACAGTCAGGAAGTTCTTCCTCATGTTCAGGTGGAATCTCCTCTCTTGTAGTTTGAAGCCATTCTTCCGCGTCCTAGTCTCCAAGGAAGCAGAAAACAAGCTTGCTCCCTCCTCCTCCCTGTGTCTTCCTCTCACATGGCTATCATATCATATACATGGCTATCATATCTCCTCTCAGCCTTCTCTTCTTCAGGCTAAACATGCCCAGCTCCTTAAGCCGCTCCTCATAGGGCTTGTTCTCCAGACCTTTTATCATTTTAGTCGCTCTCCTCTGGACACATTCCAGCTTCTCAATATATCTCTTGAGAATTGTGGTACCCAGAATTGGACACAATATTCCAGATGTGGTCTAACCAAAGCAGAATAGAGGGGTAGCATTACTTCCCTAGATCTAGACGCTATGCTCCTCTTGATGCAGGCCAAAATCCCATTGGCTTTTTTTGCTGCCACATCACACTGTTGGCTCATGTTTAACTTGTTGTCCACGAGGACACCAAGATCTTTTTCACACGTACTGCTCTCGAGCCAGGCATCGTCCCCCATTCTATATCTTTGCATTTCGTTTTTCCTGCCAAAGTGGAGTATCTTGCATTTGTCCCTGTTGAACTTCATTTTGTTAGTTTTGGCCAATCATCTCTCTAATCTGTCAAGATCGTTTTGAATCCTGCTCCTGTCCTCTGGAGTCTTGGCTCTCCCTCCCAATTTGGTGTTGTCTGCAAACTTGATGATCCTGCCTTCTAGCCCTTCATCTAAGTCATTAATAATAGATTGCAAAGTGGTCTCTCCTTGAAAAGCAAGGGTTATTGGTTAAAGATTTCCCCTGATCCGCTTCCCGTGGACTGAGAGCAATGAAACTTGGCACAGTTCTGAGTCCTCTCCATTGGTGACACCTCGGGACACACATTTCTCCCATCTTTGTACTTACTTAGGCGATCCCTCATTGTCCAAGTAGGATAATCCTCCAGGGTGGGTCCATAGGTGACCTTATTCTTGATCTGCATGTTCTCCTACAGTGAGGGCATCGGTTTCCAGATGGAAGGTGGTCCCTGTCGGGGTTGGCTTGGTATGCCTTCCTCTTGGCACGTTTCTCTCTTTCGTCCTCCATTCGCGCCTCTTCAAATTCTGCAGCACTGCTGGTCACAGCTGACCTCCAGCTGAAGTGATCACAGGCCAGGGCTTCCCAGTTCTCAGTGTCTGTGATGGCACAAGTGGCGCCACCTATGTGTAGAACTGTTAGTTGTAAGATTTAAACTGTTGTATCATGCTTAATCCTGCCCCTTTTACACTGCTTATGTATAGTTGTATGGATTGGTTACTTATAGCTGTCAATCAGTACTCTTTGGCTCCACCTCTTCCTGCAGGAGGGGAGAGCTTCCTTTTCTTTCTCATTCTGCCATCAGAGTTCTTACCATATGGACGTGAGTAAGAGACTTGACTCTAAAAGACCCTGATTTAAGTTACCTCTTAGCATCAACTCTGAGGTTTTTTACCCTTGGGATTCATGCTTTATGTCCAGATCATCCTGGACAACATTGAGGAGACCCAAGAGCCTTCAAACCGGTTCTTTTGGCACCAAAGGAAAATCCTGAGTCTTCAAAACATAGGCCATCTGAACTGGGGTTGTGGTTTGCTCCGGTATTCACAGCCATTGAGGAAAGAGGAAACTTGGTGAGGCTTCTCAGCTTCAAACCCCTTGGACCCAGGACTAATTGAGACTGTAACTTATGTTTTCCTTCACCCCTCTGAAATTTTCCAGCTCATTGCTTTAAAGAAATGACTTTGTGATACATAAAACTTATTTTGAGTTATTTACAGCGTTTTGGGTTCTTGAAAGTTCCAGTTTCCTATAGGAGGGCAAGAAGCAATCCCCTGGGGAAAGATGCCACGTCCATCCCTCCTTTATTGAGAATAATAGCCCCCAGGCGCGATGGCACAGTGTCTATGCCAGAGATTTTAAGGTTGGCTTTGAGCCCATCTTTCAATCTCTTTTCCTGCCCACCAACATTCCGTTTTCCATTCTTGAGTTCGGAGTAGAGCAACTGCTTTGGGAGACGGTGCTCGGGCATCCGGACAACATGGCCGGTCCAGCAGAGTTGATGGCAGAAGACCATCACTTCAAAGGAGCCTCCGGTGGCGCAGTGGGTTAAACCCATGTGCCGGGAGGACTGAAGACAGACAGGTCGCAGGTTCGAATCCGGGGAGAGGCAGATGAGCTCCCTCTATCAGCTCCAGCTCCTCATGAGGGGACATGAGAGAAGCCTCCCACAAGGATGATAAAACATCAGTTCATCCGGGCATCCCCTGGGCAACATCCTTGCAGATGGCCAATTCTCTCACATCAGAAGCGACTTGCAGTTTCTCAAGTCGCTCCTGACACGACAAAAAAAATGCTTCAATGCTGGTAGTCTTTGCTTCTTCCAGCACACTGACATTTGTCCGCTTGTCTTTCCAAGAGATTTGCAGGATTTTCCGGAGGCAGCACTGATGGAATCGTTCTAGGAGTTGCATGTGACGTCTGTAGACAGTCCACGTTTTGCAGGCATATAGCAGTGTTGAGAGGACAATGGCTTTATAAACAAGCACCTTGGTGTCCCTACGGATGTCCCGGTTCTCAAACACTCTCTGCTTCATTCAGAAAAATGCTGCACTCGCAGAGCTCAGGTGGTGTTGTATTTCGGTGTCGATGTTGTCTTTGGTGGAGAGGTGGCTGCCAAGGTAGCAGAAGTGGTTAACATCTTTGTAAACACCTTGTTTGTAGAAGTAGACAGATTGCTCCAAAATCACATTGTGACTTCTGAAATCAGAGTCTCCTCATCTGAAAAATGCTTCCTCTCTTAAAAAAAAAACTTCATTGTGGGAAAAAGCTGGAAGTCCGATGCTGTGAGGCCGGATGAATAAGGGGGATGTGGGAGAATGTCAAAGACACAGGAGAATGCTTCTTCCATTTGGGCAAAATTTTGGGTGAGGTGTGAACTGGTGTATTGTCTTGCAGAAGGCGGACACCTTTGGTGAGCATGTCACATTGTCTCTTGGTTAGGATGGCCTCCTGCAATTTCCACAGCAGTGATCATGGTTTCCTTTGCTAGGAAATCCATCAATACTACTCAGTGCAGAGTAGCATAGCGCAAGGGCAGATGTCTTCACTGAGTCTGGTTGTGATCCCCAGGTTGTGCCAGACAGATTTTATATGATACTATTTCTAGCACCCACTTTTTGCTTGATATTCAAGCAGTGCTTCTTTATGTCATGTCATGGTCCAGAGTGATTACTAGGAATTTTAATGTGCTGCAATGATCCAGTGGGATTCCTTCCCAGGTAATCCTCAGAGCTTGAGATGTTCATCTGTTCTTAAGATGGAAAGCACACGTCTACATTTTAGATAAATTAAGAATCTGCTGGTTTTCCATGCAATAGGCAGTAAGAGCACCTAAAGCTTTGGAGATCTTCTGTTCAACAATTTCAAAGTTCTGTGGTTGAACGGTGATGGCATGATTGTCAGCATAGATGAAACCCTTTTCCCTTCTGGCAATGGCTGATCATTTGTGTAAATGTTAATAATTGATGATGGTTACACACACACAATGGATGTCCAAAGAACTTCTAACTGTGCTAAAACACAAAAGAGACATGCACAAGAAGTGGAAAAAGGGAGAAATCACCAAAGAAGAATTCAAAACAATAGCCAACACCTGTAGGGAAAAGGTCCGCAAGGCTAAAACACAAAACGAGCTCAGGCTTGCCAGGGACATTAAAAAAAATAAAAAGGGCTTCTTTTCTTATTCATATATATTTTTCAAAATAACATCATATTATTATTATTATTATTATTATTATTATTATTATTATTATTATTTTCAAAAAGTCTGCTCTGTTTAATCCCTCAATAACCAAATTTACCCACTGATTTTCTTTCTTTCTTTCTTTTTTGTGCACAAGGGGTTTCCAGACTTTGAAAAAGGTCACTAATGACTTTTCTGTAATCAAAGCAGACAGTTTGACCGTTTCTTATGAAATCAATTTCAATTTCAGGGATTTCCATGGAAAACAACACGCTGGTGATTGAGCGGGTGAAAAAGGACGACGAAGGCCACTACGAATGCAAGGCGGTCAATGAAATGGGCCAAGTCAGCACCCAGGCTTTTATTAAAATCGAAGGTGAGGTTCCAAGGTGAAAAAACGGAGTGTCATTTAATCCAATTTGATTGAAGTTGGGCCCAAAACTCTACTGACATTGTTGGTCCACAGTTTCCATCATCCCTAGTATTGAAGTTGATTATACTGCATGATTGGATTTGAATTGGATTTGATTGGATTGGATTGGATTGGAGTCCCAGCGAGTGTCACATTGGGAAACACTTGACTAGAAGGAACCTTGGTGAAAATGTACATATTCTTTGCAATCTACTAGGGCTGGGCGGTTTCGTTTTGTAATTTCGTAATTCGTTAAAAATTAGTTATTTTTTTATAACGAAGCGATATTGAACTATTCAGGAGCAACTAAAAAACGAAACGAATTTTTCCAATTCGTTTCGTAATTGCTTCGTAATTGTTTCGTAATTGTTTCGTTATTGATTCGTAAATGTTTCGTTATTATTTCCGTATGTCTGGTGCAAGTTTTAGGGTTGCTGTTTGTTTTCTCAGTGAAAAAAAATAATTATCACACCAACAGTCAACAACAGAGGGAGAGGGAAGCTTCAGAAGTTTTTTTAGCGTATTGCGCGATCGCGGCCGCCATTAACGAATCGATTCGTAATCGATTCGTAATTGTTTCGTAATTGGTTCTTTGATTTCCGAAATTTCGTACATATCGAACTTTTTTTAAGGAAAATTTCGGAATTCTTTTAAATAACGAAACGCAAAAAAACCCCTAAAAACGAATCGAGTTTAGAAACAAATTTTTCCGTGTTTGGACAGCCCTACAATCTACCCATCCCATATTACAACTCCCACCAGTCTCAACTAGTTAGTCAATGGTGAAGTCCAATAAATGTTTGAGTCTAAAACATCTTAAAAACATCCCCGAGGGGGGACTCAGTGCAGCCTCACAGCAAACACCATTCGGTGCCATCATAATTATAAGAACAATCAACAAATTCATTAAAACAAAACATTAAATAAACAGTTGTTAAAACATGCAATTAAAATCCGGGTCCGGGTCAATTCATTGTCACTTCGAAATTGCTTATGTCTTCTTCAAACAAGCTGCTATTCCACAGTCAAATGCAAAGTCCCACAGCCAAGTCTTGAGTTTCCTTCTAAAGGACAGGAGGGAGGTGGCCAATTTGATGTCTTTGGGTAAGAAATTCCACAGACGGGGAGCCACTGTTGAGAAGGCCCTGTCTCTCATCTCCACCAATCGCGCTTGCGACGGCAGTGGGATCGAGAGCAGGGCCTCTCTGGATGATCATAAACTTCGTGATGATTCACAGTACACTGATGACACTCAGCTGGTGCTGAAGATGGAAGGTCGATCAGACTCTGTACCCAATTATTTCCATCAGTGCCTCAAGGCCGTGACTGGATGGCTGCATGCCAGCAGGTTGAGGGTGAATCCAGCAAAGACGGAGATCCTATGGCTGGGTCGACTGGGCAGTGGGGACATCCATCTGCCTACCCTGGATGGCGAGGAGGCGCTACGCCCGTCCTCGTTGGTCAAGAGTCTGGGAGTCCTTTTGGACCCTCTGCTGAGGATGGAGGCCCAGGTCTCCGCCGTGAGCAGAACCGCCTTTTTTCACCTGCGGCAGGCTAGACGGCTGGCCCCCTCCCTGTCCAGGGACAACCTAGCTGCGGTGATCCAGGCGACGATCATCTCCAGACTGGACTACTGTACGCCCTCTACATTGGCCTTCCTCTGTCGGTGATCCGGAAACTCAAGTTGGTACAAAACGCAGCTGCTTGGCTTCTTGCGGGAATTCTGATGAGATGCCACATAACCCCAATCTTACGGCAGCTGCATTGGTTACCCATTGAGCACCGGATCACTTTCAAAGTGATGGTACTCACTTTTAAGGCCTTGCATGGTCTGGGGACGATGTACCTGAGGGATCGTCTCACCCCCTCCCAACCCCAGAGATCCCTCCGTTCTGAGGACCAAGATCTATTGGAAGTCCCCAGTGTCAAGACCTTGCGTCTACCAGCAACCAGACGCAGAGCCTTCACAGCAGTGGCACCATCACTCTGGAATATTCTGCCACCTGAAGTCCGTGCCTTGCAGGACTTACCAGCTTTCCGCAGGGCATGTAAGACATATCTGTTTCGACAGGCCTTTGATCTTTGATATTGCTGTTTTTAAATTGTTTTAAATTGTTTTTAAATTGTGTTAGATTTTAGCCTGTTCTTGTAAGCCGCTCCGAGCCCCAGGGGAGTGGCGGCATATAAGTTCGAATAATAAATAAATAAATAGTAGGAAGTGCTGTTTCCTGTGTGGAACAAGAGAGTGTGCATTTTGTGCAGAAAAGTCCCAAATTGCAAATATGTTTCGGAAACAATTTTAAAAGACTTCTTTAAAGCAAGAAAAAAAATAATTTAAGTGAGAATTTGATGAAGAATTGCACTCCCAATTCAACACTGACTTTCTCTACATTGGAAGCCTTTTTGAGGGTCGGAAACATCCCCACATAGAATCCTAGAATGAAAGAGTTGGAAGAGGCCTCCTGGGCCATCCAGTCCAACCCCATTCTGCCAAGAAGCAGGAATATTGCATTCAAATCACCCCTGACAGATGGCCATCCAACCTCTGTTTAAAAGCTTCCAAAGAAGGAGCCTCCACCACACTCCGGGGCAGAGAGTTCCACTGCTGAACGGCTCTCACAGTCAGGAAGTTCTTCCTAATGTTCAGATGGAATCTCCTTTCTTGTAGTTTGAAGCCATTGTGCCACTCCAAGGAAGCAGAAAACAAGCTTGCTCCCTCCTCCTGTGGCTTCCTCTCACATATTTATACATGGCTATCATATCTCCTCTCAGCCTTCTCTTCTTCAGGCTAAACATGCCCAGCTCCTTAAGCCGCTCCTCATAGGGCTTGTTCTCCAGACCCTTGATCTGCTCCCCCCTCCCTGTGGCTTCCTCTCACATATTTATACATGGCTATCATATCTCCTCTCAGCCTTCTCTTCTTCAGGCTAAACATGCCCAGCTCTTTAAGCCGCTCCTCATAGGGCTTGTTCTCCAGACCTTTGATCATTTTAGTCGCCCTCCTCTGGACACATTCCAGCTTGTCAATATATACATGGCTATCATATCTCCTCTCATCCTTCTCTTTCTTCAGGCTAAACATGCCCAGCTCCTTAAGCCGCTCCTCATAGGGCTTGTTCTCCAGACCCTTGATCATTTTATTCATCCACCATTGTCGGGTCTTTCCTAATGATGCTTTAGCAATGCCACTTATTTGCATGGGATATTTATGACATGGTGCATTGAGATAATGGGTAATTCTATGTTTCCCTTCCAGGCTCTGAGGAAAAGTCCAATATCGAAGTCATCATTTTGGTTTGCACAGGACTCGCAGCAACTCTTTTCTGGCTTCTCCTGACCCTCTTCATCCGGAAATTAAGAAAAGTAAGTGGCTTAGAAATGGCTCTCTGTTGACACCCTTTGGGTGGGAACAGTCATCTACTTTAGCATCGGGGAGGTATTTGACAAACAATGGTCATTTCGCATTGAAGGCTTGTTGCACAGTGTTTGTTCTCCAGTCTTAAAAATGGGATCTGAGTGAGAGAGAGTTTGGGTGCATCCAGAGGTGGCCCTAGGTAATTTTCAATGGTAAGCAAACAGTACTTTTGCCCCCCCTCCCAACCAATCATTGATATATATTTTCTGTTCGTCGTGGGAGTTCTGTGTGCCATATTTGGTTCAATTCCATCATTGGTGGAGTTCAGAATGCTCTTTGATTGTAGGTGAACTATACATCCCAGGAACTACACTTGCCGCACTTGCTCCCTTGCCTGGCCCGCTTTGGGTCCGGAGGCGTGCCTGAAGACCCCGGCGTGTGCACCAAAAGTCACCTCTTCTCCTGACTTTCTCCTCAGCCATTGGGACCAAGAGAGAGAGAGAGAGAGAGAGAGGTGGAGATGCCCACCTTTCCTGAAGGTAGGCGCAAAAACAAAGGAGGGAGCGGAGGTGGGAGATACCTCCAGCCGGAGGGGCTCTCTCTCTCTCTCTTGGTCCCAATGGCTGAAGAGAAAGTCAGGAGAAGAGGCGACTTTTGGTGTGCACGCTGGGGTCTTCAGACACACCTCCGGACCCGAAGCGGGCCAGGCAGAGGCGGCTCCGCCCCTTGGCCCACCCGGATTGGGGAGAGGAGAGGAGGCGGGTGGAGCGCTCGGGGGATCGGGAAAAGGAACCGGTCATGGGGAAGTGATCGAATGCGGAGAATGATTGAGCACCGGCTCTGCGTGCGCACCCGGTGGCTGGGTGGAGCAGGAACGAGAGGGGCTAGGCGAGGCTCTAGGGCCCGGCCCCTTTGGGAAGAGGACCGCCCGGCAGAGAGGCAAGAAAGCTGAGGCTCCCCCCGGACTGCTAGGGCTGTTGTGAGCTGAGGGGGCGCTCCTCAAGTGATGGTCGAAGGGCATTTACAGAGGCACCTCTGCGCCCCTAGCAAAAAAAAGTGTTCTGCGACCACTTACTTCGCGTAATGGATGAGCCGCCCCTGGGTGCATCTGCACTCTGGAATTAATGCAGTTTGGCACCACTTGAACTGTTATGGCTCAATGCTATGGAATCACAAGTTTTCTAGCTTGGCAAGGCACCAGACTTCTTTAGCAGAGAAGGCTCAACACTTTGTAAAACTACAACTAGAATCATAGAATCATAGAGTTGGAAGAGACCTCATGGGCCACCCAATCCAACCCCATTCGGCCAAGAAGCAGGAATATTGCATTCAAAGCACCGCTGACAGATGGCCATCCAGCCTCTGTTTAAAAGCTTCCAAAGAAGGAGTCACCACTACACTCTAAGAAAACCTGACCTAAGATGGCGTCTCCCTGTTTCCCTATCTTAAGATGGCCGCCAAGGTGTCGCTAGGCTCACATTCAGGCTGCTAAAGGTAAGGGTTCTTCACACCATCCAATGGAAGCTGAGCATTGAGTTGCCCTGGAGGAGAATCTAGAAGTTCTTGCAAGTTAACTGTGAGCGTTAATGTTGTGCAACCAAATAAGCATTTGTATCTCCGTGTAATTGGTATCACTCAGCCCATGCACACTTTCCACCTCCACAATGGAACCTGAACCTGACTCAGCACATAGAAGATGGCTTTGAAAGGCAGCAGATCACAGGAGCTGTCTTCATAGACCTGTCAGAAGTCTATGAGACTGTAAACCACCGCCTCCTCCTGAGAAAAATGTATAATATCACAAAGGACGACCACCTCACCCGCCTCATAGGAAACCTGCTACAAAACAGGAGCTTTTTTGTTGAGTTCCAGGGCCAGAGAAGCAGATGGTGGAAACAGAAGAACGGCCTGCCTCAGGGGAGCGTGCTTGCCCCATCCATGTTCAACATCTACACAAATGACCAGCTACTGCCAGAAGGGACAGAGAGTTTCATCTATGCTGATGATCGTGCCATCACTGCTCAAGCAGGGAGCTTTGAGATGGTAGAACAGAAGCTCTCCGAAGCTCTAGGTGCTCTTACTGCCTACTACAGGGAAAACCAGCTGATCCCCAACCCATCTAAAACACAGACATGTGCCTTTCATCTCAAGAACAGACAAGCATCCCGAGCTCTGAAGATCACCTGGGAAGGAATCCCACTGGAGCATTGCAGCGCATCCAAATACCTGGGAGTCACTCTGGACCGTGCTCTGACTTACTAGAAGCCCTGATGAATAGCAAGCAAAAAGTGGGTGCTAGAAACAATATCATACGAAAGCTGACTGGCACAACCTGGGGATCACAACCAGACACAGTGAAGACATCTGCCCTTGCGCTACTCTGCTGCTGAGTATGCATGCCCAGTGTGGAACACATCTCACCATGTTAAAACAGTGGATGTGGCTCTTAATGAGACATGACGCATCATCACGAGGTGTCTGCGCCCTACACCACTGGAGAAATTACACTTAGCCGGTATTGCACCACCTGACATCCGCCGGGAAGTAGCAGCCAATAGTGAAAGGACCAAGGCAGAGACATCTCCAGCTCATCCCCTGTTTGGGTATCAGCCAGCACGTTAATGACTTAAATCTAGAAATAGTTTTCTAAGATCTACAGAGACACTCGCTGGAACACCTCAGCAAGCGAGAGTCCAAAAGTGGCAGGCTCAAACCCAGAACCGCAACCAATGGCTGATACCAAATGAGAGACTCCCCCCTGGGCACACAGAAAACTGGGCGACTTGGAAGGCGCTGAACAGACTGCGCTCTGGCACCACGAGATGCAGAGCCAACCTCAAGAAATGGGGCCACAAAGTGGAATCCACGACATGCGAGTGTGGAGAAGAGCAAACCACTGACCACCTGCTGCAATGCAACCTGAGCCCTGCCACATGCACAATGGAGGACCTTCTTGCAGCAATACCAGAGGCACTCCAAGTGGCCAGATACTGGTCAAAGGACATTTAATCAACTACCAAACTCACACATTTTGTATTTTGTCTGTTTGTTTGCTTTGTTCTGTTAGAAATGTAATATAATTGACTGGTTGCCCTGACACGACAAATAAATAAAAACCTCCACAATGTTGAACTGCATTTTAACCTTTCATTGGAGTCCAATCCAAGTTAAGTGAGAGATTTTTTTCTGCCCCCAACCCTTTGCAGCCAGATGCCACAGACATCAAAACAGGGTACTTGTCTATCATCATGGATCCAGAAGAGATGCCGCTCGACGAACAATGCGAACGCCTCCCGTACGACAGCAGCAAATGGGAGTTCCCAAGAGATAGGCTGCGGCTGGGTAAGTCATCCCTTTCGGATCCTTCAACCCAATTTCTGTAGCATTTCGAGAAGTACAGTTTCAGAAACTTTGCCTTCTTGACCTTAACTATAGTTTAGCCTTGTATCTGCTAATCAATGGTTAACGCTAACCAGGTTTACATTTGTGAACCCAGGTTTCAGATCTTGGGACAAACGGAAAACGAGTGTGAAGAAGACACAGAGATGGGTTCAAAGACGAAAGGCAGAGGGTTGTTGTGCATTTTCCGGGATGTATGGCCATGTTCCAGAAGCATTCTCTCCTGACGTTTTGCCTGCATCAATGGCAGGCATCCTCAGAAGTTGTGAGGTCTGTTGGAAACTAGGAAAGCTAATCACCTTCCAACAAAGGATTCCCCCAGGCAGTAAGAAGCCAGACCTTGATAACTGCATGGCCATGAAATGCTGATCAAAATGATGAATTTCTATATTCACACCTATATTCAAGAACACTATAAATGTAATATAATGTAATATAATATATATATTGTGTGTGTGTATAGGAGCCCCAGGTGGCGCAGTGGGTTAAAGCACTGAGCTGCTGAGCTTGTTGATCGAAAGGTCGCAGGAAGGTCCGGGGAGCGGTGTGAGCTTCTGCTGTCAGCCCTAGCTTCTGCCAACCTAGCAGTTCGAGAACATGCAAATGTGAGTAGATCAATAGGTACCTCTCTGGCAGGAAGGTAACGGCGCTCCATGCAGTCATGCCGGCCACATGACCTTGGAAGTGTCTACAGACAACGCTGGCTCTTCGGCTTAGAAATGGAGATGAGCACCACACCCCAGAGTCAGACATGAATGGACTTAATGTCAGGGGAAAACCTTTACCTTTACCTATAATGGCTTAATACAATATAGTAATAATTAATACTGATATTGTACTATGCTAATAAGAATAATATAACTATCAAAACAATGGGGGCCACTACTACCTCCCAAGAAAGGATTTCCCCAGCCAGGAATCAGCCAGGCTTTGAAGCTGCAAGGCCATTTAATGCAAATCAAAGTGATTCACACTTGCCTCCAACAGACAAGAGTTCTTTCTCCCACCCTGGACATTATTCCACAGATATATAAACCCCACTTGCCTAGTTTCCAACAGATCTCACAACCTCTGAGGATGCCTGCCATAGATGTGGCCGAAATGTCAGGAGAGAATGCTTCTGGTACATGGCCAGACAGCCCGGAAAACTCACAACAACACCGTCCTTGCTCTCTTTGTTCTGGGAAATCATTGCAACAACAAATCTGATTTTTGACTCGATTCTGCAAATGAGAAGACCACAGCATGCCATGCTTTTCACCTAGCCAAGTCTTTTGAATGCAAGCTGAGATCTCCTTCACCCCTGAGATTGGCTCCAATGCACTTTTATGCAACTGTATCGCCGCATATGTCCATAAACCCTTGCAAGTTTATACATATGCATCAGTGTGGGATACAGACCTTTCACGGATTTTGTCTCCAGTGCATGCAAAGTGTGATGTTCTCCTTACACTGCAAACGGTGCACGTTCTCCTAGATCTGCAGGGCTGTGTGTATACAATGCTTTTGTACGGAAAGGGCCAAAAGCAAATCGACTGATGCTCCTGGAATATCAGGAGATATTTATGGCAATGCAAGTATACCTTGGTTACAAAGCAGGTGGATTCCCAGGCTTCCCTTCTTTTTCGAAAATTATTTGGAAAGAACATCCCTTATCTGGGATCCTGAAATTGCAAAACAATTACACCAAAACAATTCCCAAAATCTGTTGGGAAGTTATGGCTATATAAGGGGATATTTCTGCAATTCAGCTCCTCATTTCTAATTTTTTTTACCACACTAGCTACATATTTGTTAAGTTTCTACAACTGTAGCTATGGATTCTTAGTTTCTCCAATGTAACTATAGATTTGTAAATTTTCTACTGTGTAGCTATGGATTGTAAAGCTTCTACAACTGGTATGGGCAAAACCAGGCTTGGGGACCAGATGCGGCCCCTTGGGCTCTTTTCTCAGGCCCTCCTCTCTCTCACCATCCTATCTTTCCTTCTATATTTCCTTCCGCCTTCCCTCCCTCCCTTCCTTCCGTACCACCCTCTTTCTGTCTACCTCCTTCCTTCCCTTCCACCCTCTCGTCCTTTCTTCCTTCCCTCCCCTTCCCTCTCTCTCTTTCTCCTTCCTTTCTTCCTTTCTTCCTTTCTTCCTTCCCGCATTCCTTTTTGTCATTTCTTCCTTCTCTCTTCCTCCATGCACTCCCTCCCCTCCATTCCCACCCTTCCTTCCATCCTTCTCATCCTCATTTCCACCCTTCCCTCTTTCCTCACTCCCTCTCTCTCTTTCTCCTTCCTTCCTTCCCTTTTGTCTTTTCTTCTTTCTCTCTTCCTCCATTCCCTCC